GTACCGTGAGAGCTAATACTATACGAGGCGTGGCCGTCAGTGGTTCGGTAATTATGGGGGTGTTTTTAGACAGTTTTGTACGCCAATTACTTTGTTCTATTCATTTTCTTGTGTAAATGCTTAGTTTTCTAGATATAGGTGCATTAACATACAGGTTAGGTTAGGTTAGCACATCATGTCAGCCATTGTTATATTGTTTCCCAACATCATATATTGTCCCCTAATAAAATCAGTGAAAACTGGATATTTATAAAGCCATTTTCAATGAAACATAGCGGATGGTCATAATCCGAATAATTACCAAAATTCTGTTGAAGATAACTTGGTTTCTTAACTTTCAAATGAAATAAAAGTTTGGAGTAATTGCATCTCATGCCATTACTGTTTTCCTGTAGTTACTCTTAAGAGAAAATTTGGTGCAGACATCATTGCTGCCATGTGTAGGGTTACTGTTGATATATTAGGGATCTTAATGCTAAGTAACTTTTCTAGCAAATGATCCATATGAACTGTTAATAACATAACATCCTAAGCAGTCTACCTAACCTATCGTAGGATAGGATAGGTATGTTATGTCAGGTACCTTAGGTCAGGTTTGGTTTGTTTGTTTGTCTGAATTACGATAAATTATCAGTGGTAGGTGGTCACTGGCAAGCAGTTGCTGGTGTGAGGGAACACTCTTCAAGTATGAAATGCCATCTTGGACAAAATCACCAAACTAGCAATATAAATGTTGCCCAAAATCTCACAATTTTTGGGTAGTCGGCAGCTTCCAAACAGGGAGGTACTACCGCCTAGGAAATAATTGGAAGCATAATGTATTGTCTAATGGTAGACCCTGCTGCCATATAGCATCACAAAAATTGTGACCAAATCCCAGGTTGCTGATCTCACTTTCTGCCTCATTTACACACAATTGCAGGGTCTCGATTGTTTCTCGCACTATTGACAATGCAACATACATTCAGTACAGTATATAATTTCTCTATTGGTCTTTTTTTTCATTTTTGTATTTCTTTATGGTTCTTTAATATTATTATTACAGTGTTGTTATTATTATTTTATTTTTTATTTTTCAATTGTGTATTAATGTATTTATTATAAATTTTATTTATTATTATTATTATTATTATTATTATTATTATTATTATTATTATTATTATTATTATTATTATTTCATTTTCGCCCCCCAGGCCCGATGTGGGTCAGTGATCTGTGCCCGAGTGGGCTAATACCCGTAAAAAAATATGTTCTGGGTATCAGGAATGTGTTCGCGAAATGTGTATGGGTTTTCAGACACCTGTATTTACAGTCATACATTAACTCAAATGTTTTAATGAAAATCCATAAGAAAACAAATTGATATTAAAGCTATGGAGTCATTCTTAATGTTTACCAGCTGTCATGGTAAAGGCTTATTTAAGTTCTCCAGTTGAATGTTGAATTAATTTTTGACGGGATCTTCATCATATGTATGGTACTTTTTATAATGCATTGACTCTAATACAATACAGTGGGAAGTAAAGAAAAAATTATATTTAAGATCACAATACTGCATATGAATCAAACAGTTGGACAGACTACACACAGTATTGCACAATATTTTATCTGGCCTGTTGTCTGGGCCTAGTTAAACAGTACTTATAACTGACTTAGGATTAATTGGGTTTATTGTTTCAATACAGATAATTTAATGTAGACTCCTTCAGTATGTGTAGTTAACTTAATCCCACATTGTGCGACTGATCATAATCGACATTATTACTGAAATTAAACATATTTAGCATATGCAGTACAGTATAGGCTCTAACCTGGCCCAGAGAAGCACTAATGTAGGCCATCAGGCAGTACCATAAGTTTGCCTACTGCTAATCTGGGATCTTAAGCTTATACCTGTAAGCTAAGTTAGGTAAGGTGGACACGAGCTTTATGGAGATTTAACACTGGATTTTCAGTTAAGGGATAATTTTTTTCTTTTGTATGTCACCTGTATATCACCTGGTACTGTATAAAGGATGCTATATATGCTTATAAGATGTGGATGTACAGTATTATGGTGTGATGATACAGTAGTGTTGTTTATTTATGGTTTCCATGTAAAACTTTTAGAATTTTAATATAATACCATTGTACTGTATTACATTATCAGGTCAAGTTCAATTATGGTCAGTGTAGATAGAGGTCAAGGTGGGAGGTCATCCCATGTTAGGAAGCACCCACTATTAATGACTGTGCTAAAAAATAAATTCTCTACTACTTGCCTAATTTAACATATTGAAGGGTTAATTCGTGCCAACTCACTCAGAGGTCTCTAGTTGACAGTCTCTCCAGTTTGTATGAAATTTCATCTATGGGAACAGCTATGGTAGTGATGGCTGCATGCACAAGTTCAGTACTAAATTTCTGTGAGTTGTTATGGTTGAATGTAATGGTATGGCACTTCTTTAGCACTCAATTCTGGTGTGTGGTTTTAGAGGATATTTTAATGCTATTGGTTTCCTGTGGATTAAAAATGTTTATAAGGTCAAGTACAGGATTTTTTTTTCTTTTTAAAAGCCATACAAAACCTGTGGCTAAGCCTCCGTCTCCACTCATGGTGTCCAGTAGCTAGGTAGGCTGTGGTTGAAAAAGTAAATGTCTCCAGAATTGGTTGCTATTTAGGTAATCATGATCTAGTAATGTGTTTTTTGTGTATGTGTGCAGTAAAGAGTTTATATAATTATTTTTGTTGTAAAATGTGTGGTTTGAATATGGTAAATAACATTTTAGCAAGAAACATTACAAAGAGCCTGCAAGTGAAGTACAGGTATCATTTGCAAGAAGAAGGTATTTTACTGTTTAAGTTGAAGATCTCTTAAGGTAGCTGGCAGAGAGACAGACATGGGGTTGCCAGGCTTCCTAAATGTCCCTGTTGGCTCTTCTCCAGGCTATGTTGCCAACCTCAAAATTAGTGTATACATTGAATGGGTAGAAAAATTGTATATTCAACAGTTTATACATTGTTACTGTATAAAATTAACGTATGATTTTCATTATTGCCTTTACTTAGATTTTCTTGGGTAGATGATTTAATACAGGTACAGTATGTAGTCCTATAGGATTGAGATGAAACCATGCACATTTATAGAATTAATGAGTCAAAGTTGATCTGACTACTGCACACTGTTAGAGTTGGGATAAAGATGACTTGGTCGTGTGATTCTGGAATTTGACATTGGCCCTTGCACTGTACAGTATAAGTTAACCTTAATGTTGGTCTGGGACCTTGGGATGAAACTGATAAAATTATCAAAGAAACATGAAATTTATGGGTAGAGTGGAGGTAATCTCATTTTATGTTTGTTGCTTGTTTATCTGGTGGCTGGGAGTGAGACCTTGTGTAATCTAGTGTCTTCAGTTTGAAATTTAATTTGTATACATTCTTTGTGTTTTGGTCTGTTGACATTGTTGTGAACAAGGTGGGAATGAACACCATAAATTGCCATCTGCTATTTATAAGTAAAGTTTGTCATGTTGACACCTGTAAATTAAAAGAAAGGGTTTTGTTGGCAACCAATTGTGTAAGGTCACACACAGTCAAATATGGAGCTGCCAATAATAAGGACTGTTCACAGAAAATTTGGATAATTTTCCCCAAACTCCGAGTAGATATAGTCATCTCCTACCCTCTTCCTTTTTAATTATATAGTTTATATATATATTTCTTTGTATTCTTACATATCACAGTGTGAAGACTCCCTTGAGTCCCTGAGGTGAAAGACAAAATACCAGTATGTAGCAAGTGTTGCTTCTCTCTCAATTGCTATGCTGAGGCTCTGGAACAAGTAGCTAAGTCAATATTCTGGAGTCTCCTGTGGTTTCAATAAGTCTGATACATCTACTATTTATGATTTTAAGAAATAGAAAGAACAGATGCTTAAATTCTACCGACGGTGATGTGCCTGAATTAATAGACATTTGAAAAACTGGACACTAATCTAGCAATGTTGATGTGGACAAAGTTGCTGGAATAGCTTAGGCAGTTTCGGAGTAAAAAGTATCCTCTTGACCGTTCCATTATCATGGTCCAAGCTAAAGTTTTTTACGGGGAATTAAAACTGACAATTCCATGTGAATCTTCATTTGGGAGGTTCAACAAATTTAAACGGTGGCATGGCATTCACAAGTTGAAAGAATGTGGGGGGAAAGGGTTCTGCGGATGACTAAGTTGCCGAGGCGTATTTAGATGAATTTGCAAAGTTGATATCGGCTGAAGGACTGACACCTGAGCAGGTTTACAATGCAGATGTAACCTCCTTATACTGGAGTTACGTATCATGGAAACCTGTTACACTAGATGAGTTTGCACCTGCAGGGTTCAAGGCTTCCAGGGAATGACTAAAGTTTCTTGGGTGGAAACAGTGCAGCTGGCACCCACAAGTGCAATTTGCTTGCTATTGGGAAAAAGGTCAGAATCCTCAGGCATTTCAAGGAATCCGGGTGTTTCATGTGATTTATAAGGCTAATAAGCGAGCTTGGATCACTACACAGCTTTTCACCGTGGGGTTTGAAAAAGAACTTTGTGCGTGAAGCCAGAGCTAATAGTAAGTCTGTGGGTCCACTTGATGACACTTTACAAGACTTGTACTAGTACAGTGTACAGGACAAGTTGTTCCGTGTTAGTGCCGGTCCAGGGTTTAGTGTCCATTGTGACAGATGGTAGGGTTTGATAGGCCTAATGTGACCCTAATAGTCATTGGCCAGATTAACAAATACAGAACAGTAGGTCATAAACTTCCTCACCTGAGTGTTATAATTTATCAATTTCATGCATGTAAAAGTGAGTATATATTGTCTTTATTATTGTAGGGTATACTAATAATTATGGTGATTTCCTACACAAGAAGACCAAGTTATACCTTTGTGGAGTAATAAAATGTACAAGAATAAGAAAGATTATTGTGGATTCCATTATCGTATAGCTCCTCCATGTTATCTAAGGTGTTTACACACAGCAGATAATGTGTGGGTCAGTGTTCAGGTTGATTATCTCTGAGAGTGACAGTCAGCTCACCTGTGTGATAGAATGGCCTTTTCGCCGTTATTATGTAGTCGTTATATATAGTATTCAGGCTCAAGATTGGAAGTCTGGTCTTGCAGTTGGACTCTACCTCTGGACCCAGATTTAATTTGCTGTATAATGTGTGCATTCTGGCAGTAAATTGCTCATTGAATCAGAATTTTAATCACTGTTTTTTACACCTCTGTATCCTGATATTAAATGAGTGATTGAAATATTTAAAGGTATAAGATAATGAGAGATATAGTATATACAGGCATGCAATAATTGTGCTCTGTGTACAGTGTGGTGTAAATTCAGTTCAGTACGGTAGAATACAGCAAAAATGTCTGTAACAATAGACCTCGATTACATTGAGCGCATTTTACGTCCTCAAGCTACTGGCCTATATTCTGTAAGTATAAATAGAGTTGTAGGGATAACATAACTGTCCTTCCTCTGCATGGCTTTACTACCTAGCTAATTTGTGCAATATTAAGTGATGATAATTGACGACAGTGTGAGATTGCTAGTTAGAATTTGATTGAACAGTTTAAACAAGTTAAGACGGCTGTGTTGTAGTACAGTACATTAGTTGAGACTCACCTCTGTTTAGTTTCAAAGGTGAGAGAGCTTGTAAGATGACATACAGTATTCATTAAATGATCACATATTTTTAAGAGGTTTAAAAGATATACAGTATACGGTTAATACGAATCTCAATTGTATCTGACAATGAAAAGTATGAAAAGCAAAATGTTGTTGATTATGATATGGCTTTGATCATGAGTCAAATTTCTTAAAAAATGAAGAAAAAAAGATTGGCTTACCATATGGACACTTGAAGAATTGCTGGTGGCTAAAAGTAGGTCCCAGTGTTTTATAACCCTTGAAATGTAATGCTCACAATAATTTTTACCAATCTACAGCCCAGTGACAGAGGTATACTGTACAGCACTTGGTATATGAGTACAGCGCAGTATACAGTAACATCAACTTTTCCCCCAAAATTCAGCAAAATTTTGCTCAACTTGGGTTGAAGTTTTGACCCATTATATTACCAGGGGTATACATTATTTTCAGATGGTCTAATTTCCTGTTGAATTTATTACTGTACTGTACCAGGTGTTGTTTAGATTGTACAGTATTGAAACCTGATGAATAAAGATGAGCTTAACCCTTAAATGGTGTGGCCATCATCGGTGGAAATAAGCTGAAGGGAGTTTGATGGATTTTGGGGGATTCATGGAGGGTGGAGCCATGGTGGTCAGTGTGGTGGTTGCTGCTTAGTTGGATGACGTATCTCAGTAAACTTGTACTGTTCTTCCCCGTCCCCTCCATCCGGGCGGACAACCTCTCTTTTGAGGGAGGTGAGGGAAAGGATATCTTTTAGTAAATAATTACGGGAACAGGTCAGCCCTTGCAGATACTGGCTGGGTGTTGTTGATCAAAGTTTTTTGCCACTAATTGGTTGTTGTTTGTTTTCTGCACAAGAATATTAAACTGACTCTTTCATCAAAGGTTAATTTCTCTGCCACTTTTGCTGTTAAAAGAAAACGAAGAAAAACTAGCACATTTTCCTATTGTGCATGACCTATGGGACACCCTTTACATAAGTTACATAACTTGGGCACTAATCTGCACCTGTTCTGTGTGGGTCTTTGAAGTTCATTTGCCTTGTAGTTCTAAATACTGTACTGATGACCCATACTTTTCCTGAGGTTCCAGAGTAAAACTGAAGAAATGTACAATACACAGTAGGAGAATTAGGGGTTTCAGTACTCTATAGTTATGCAGTTGAGGGGGTTCATCCTTGTCTGGAATACATATCTGCCTCATCCCTGGAATATTGATTGTGTTGCCTTCCACCTTCTACCTGGTGGAGGTCATTAAGCTAGAAACGGAGGAGTAATCTTGAAACCTTACTCTTTAACCTGGCAGCTCAGACACACCCCCCCCCCCTCCTTTGGGTTTGTGCTTAATCAGTTAGAAAATTAGATCTTGTTTGGTGGATTGGCTCAGAAGTCACGATAGCAGCCCTTACCTGGTGGGATGTGTGTACTGGCTAGGTGGACATGGATGTTTTTTTAGTCATCCTGTTCTCCTCTGCTTCCCCTCCTACCTTCTTGGGGAGATGTCTATAATAAGCAGGGATGGAGAATCTAAAGCTCACCCCCTCAGCTGCTATTAGGGGTCTGGTCTACTGTCCCAGACTCTTAATATGGCTTGCACATTAATGAAAGCTGCCTGGCATGAAAATAGGATTTCAGAACTAATCTTTCATTATTATATCTCGCTACACAAGCCTGGGGACAAGAATTTTCACTTAGCCCTTTGTAGTATATATTTCCTCAGATTATCACATAAGATCTTTCAAGTTGTTGGATTGATTTTTGTATTTTTTATGATTTTTCTCTTACTCTAGTTGAGGTTTTGCAGTGGAGAGCATGCAAGTTTTACCAACAAAGCTGTAGACACAGTACAGTGGTCCATCTTGCACCCTATTTAGTTTAGAATGGAATAGAGTTCATAGATACTGTTGGTGAATTAGCTTTCTTTTTTTTTTCTTTTTTTTTATTAAGCAAGATACAGTATTAACATGTCTAATGCCTGATGTAATGAATATAGCCAGTGTTAGCATGGATCTCTAAATCTTGTCAAAGGTCACATAGTACTGTACAGCAGATGGTACTGTAGGTTGACTAAGCTGCTTTTGGTTATGTTACACTTTCTCTGCTTGAATTGCCATTGTTTAGTAAATGTGTTGTTCAGTGTGTACTATGCATGTTATTTTGATCACTTTGTTGTCCTGGAATATCTTTCAATTTGTAGTTCTGTTCAAAATACTTTATAGTACATGTTTTGATAGTAACTTAATAGCTGCTGCACTGTTTACATCTTTTGTTTGGAAAAATTTCACCTTCTTTATTATAAAGTAAATGAGGTTGCAAGTAGAAAAATAAACATTGCAGTACTACTTTTAGTTATAAAATTATAGATTTTTGTCCTCTTGAACATTCTTATATTCAAATAATTACATAGATAGTTTGTGTTCTACACGTGAAATACTTTTATACTACAGTAACTCATACTATTGATTTACCACTATTTCTTCTCCATAGGCACGAGCAGATTTGCCTGAGCAGAATCACGTTATAACCATGGGAGAGACTTCAGCACAAAAACGCTTTCAGAGAAAGGGCAGCAAACAGGCGAATGGATCGAGCATGATAAGTTCTGCTCAGACTCTAGAAGAGAAGTTGGCAGAAAAAGAAGAGAGAGAAAAGATAGTATTATGGAGACATCCTATACTGACTGTTCATTATTTCCTCAGAGAATGTGGAGTTCTATCTGTCGAATACATGATTAAGTGAGTGGGGGCGTTTTTATCTTATATTACATTTCCTGTATACTGTTTGTACTTCTTCATCTTTACTAATACAGTACAGTATATGTTAATACAGTATTATCATTTATTTGCTAGTTTGTAAAAATTTACTTCTGCAGTTCTGTCAAAGTACATTGCATTTTCTGTCTAATAAAGTAGCCAAATGCTTGTGATGATTGAGCATCATTCAGCATAATAGTGAATCTCAAAATAGACTTACAAACTAAATAGTAGTTCCAGTAAACAGACAGCCCAATCAGTTGTTAGCTGTGTGTGTTTGTATTAAAACTTTTGTTACACAGTCATTTTCACAGTCTTGATACTAGCTGTACCAGTAAAGTATTAAGCTTGAAAGGAGCTTAAATACACAAAAAAATTTACTTTTCAGACTGTGGAACAATAAGAAGATTGTGTTATTAATAGCTATGCTTATAGGAGGTTACTATGCTGCTCACAAGACACCTGGCCCTCACCAGCCTGTGAGTACCTTTGTTGTTGACTGTAAGTAGGACAAGGCAGTGTTGGTAGGACATTGTTATAACTGCTGCAGAAGGAGTACTTACATGTTACTGTCAGAACCCATGTGTTCTTTTACTGTTGGTGTGTCTTTCCCGGAACTTTGCACTTCCTTCTCGCTTTAGCACTGACCATTACCTTTACTTAATAGACTAAGATTATCCTTCAGTTACCTGTCCTACTAGGTTACCCTTTGTGTTACACCCCTTGTAGAGTGGAGTTGTGCAATCAGACATTTTTTTTAATATCACTCGTCTTTTATTAGAAAATCATTATCTTTTAGAGGAATTATTTTCCTCCATAAAGACGTTCATCCTATCTCCTTTCTCTATGAACATAAGTTTTACCTAAGTTTAACCTTTTGCCATAAACAAATAATGGCTATATGTGTATTAATGCTATACAGTATATTGTTTTACAGAGCTGTCCTTGGCTTATTTTATTCATTAATTAAACCAGCAGTACATGTAAGACCTCCCTTATGTTATACCAAGTGCACATTTTGTAGTTGGGATGACTCTGATGCAAAAGAACCTCTACCCAAGTTTTCACCTCTAATTCATTCCCTACATGACTGCTCATTCCTCCACATGGATACCTTACTCTTGTCTGTACCGTCTTCAGCTCTCCTCCTATCACATTTCTGATTCTGTTGGACTATAATTATTTGGATATACAGTACTGGACAGACTTGGTGGAAGAGTTGCAACATGTTTTCTCTCATTAGTCATGTAATATAAAAACTTAAGTTGAAATTCCTGTGTTTTGAAGAATTTTTTGATATAATTTGATCATTATTGCTTGGTGATATACAGTATTAATAAAAAAAAGGTTATTAGAACAAATTACAGTACCATATGTTAATTTCTTTGAGATTTCTGACTGGGAATTTGGTGTCTTGTTCTTTACAGCTTCTGCAGAGTGTGGCAAAAGAGTTCTGGTGGTGTGCGTGGTGGATATGGCTAGGGATATTGTCATCAGTGGGCTTGGGGACGGGCCTACACACATTTCTACTCTATCTAGGACCCCATATAGCCTCGGTGACATTGGCTGCGTATTCCTGTAACTCGGTAGAATTTCCATCTCCGCCATATCCTGATGAGTAAGTATTTTAAGCTGAATACCTGTAATGTTTGTAAATACTTAAAACCTTTGAATGTTTTTGTTTCCTGTAACTACTGTACAATATGGACCAGTGACAACAACTCAGGACATACCTGTTATGTCAACCACCTGAACAAACCTTCCCCACCCCCCCACCCCCCTCCCCACCTTTCCAAAAATCCTGGAACTATGAATCTTTAATGAAGTTTACTCAGAAGACTTCATCCATTGTTGATAATAGTTACATTGAATCAACACAGTAAACGTAAAAGGATAAACACACTGTTGTGTCTCGTTGTATGTGTTGTCGTGGTGGTGGGTTAAGCAGCTCTGGCTAACTCGTGGAGCAACAGCTCTATCTGCCAAAAAGACCGCCAAAATTTATGCCACTGACACATTGTCACTCAAATTAATAAGTTTATGCTTTACTTTGACAAATTCTGTTACACCAAAAAAAAAATAGTTGTAATAAATGTTTTTAGTTAATTTATATAAACTAATTTATCAGAATTAAAGTAATCGATGAGAAATGGTTAACTCGTCTCTACCCGGTGAAAACATCTGATGGCTCAGTACGCTCATCAGACTAATTAATTTATAATAGTAATAAACCAACACCACTACGTATTTATATTTTTATGCCCGTGAATCATTGCGAGAAATCTATGACTTACCCCACACAACAGGTCTATTCCACATTGAATCGCACAGAAGCCCATCATCTGAATGTCCGAAGGTGCTTTTAAAAGGACTCCGTGGGAAAAGTTGCTACAAAGTTTATTTACAATTAAATAATTATATTTTGATTTTTACTAAATAATTTCCATGATTGGTATTGGGAGTGAAAGCTTTCCAGAAAATTATGATTTCGACCATGGGTGGCCAAATTTTTATTCAAGTCGGCCATTTTGAAATATTTTGACTCTGGCGGGCCATAGTGTGACTTCCTACTACAGTTGCGGCTGAATGAACCTTATTCGATTAGTGTCTTGAGAACTTTTTCAAAATCTGTTTTCGTTGTTGAACAGCTATACACAGTGTGTTTGTTCAGTAAACATCAGTAAGAACACTTCACCCTATATGTCAACAATGTTCAATTTTTAATAATTGCTCAAAAATGTAAATACGGTACAGTACTGTACAAGGGAAGAGAGAGATTATCCTCAGTGCATGTGATATTAGCTTTGGGTTTGTTTACATACTGTATACAACTTGTAAAATTCAAGTAAATTAACGTCTCAAATTTTTTTTGAAGTTCACTGTTGTTCTGCAGATGTATCAGTTCCATTTGTAACTCTTCCTGAGCTGTGTCAACATTGACAACAAATGGAGATGCATTACTTGCAATTCCATTTCGAGAGTATGTAGATTGGCAAACCTTGATTCAAATTTTTCTTTTAAACCTTGTACAGTACTTCATATGCAGATATAGTCACATTATATTTGGTGGTGGCACATGCATCAAGTGCTGTAAAGTGTACTGCATTGTGTTTTGATAAGATTTTCCCATAAACATAGCTTATTTTTTAATCCTTTGATGTGATCAAGATTGCTAACAAGCTGATCTTTTCTTTGAAGCTTAGTGTCAGTTCATTGAGATAAGTCAAATCTACAAAAAGGGCCAGGTCTAAACACCAGTTATTGCTGGATAATCCTTGTACTGGCTTCCCTTCCCTTTCTTGAATATTTTTACCTCCTAGAATGTCATAAAATCTTGGTACTTTTCCTCTGCTTAGCCATCGCTCTTCACAGTGATAAGTAACATCGTGGTATTCTGAACCAAGATCACTTAAAAATTTCTTAAGCTGCCTGTGATGAAGAGTATGTGCTTTCATATAGTTGACATTAGAAATAACAAGTGGCATTACATGATTCATTTTGATTCGTTTGGTGCACAAGTTTTCTCGGTGAATAATGCAGTGCAAAACAACAATCTTAGAGTTCCATCCTTCTTTCTCCCGCTGAGCTACAAGTCTCGCAGCGGCACCTTAATTCAACCCAGCCATGGCTGGAGCTTCATCTTTTGTTATACCAGTGAGTTTCTCTAACTTTAAATTGTTTTAAAAATAATACCCTCACTTCATTGAACATATCTTTACCTATAGTGGTACCTTTCATGCTAGCTAAAATATTAGAAAATAGCCGTTCCTTTTCAGGACAAAATTTCTGCTGCGGTTACAAGACACTCTTTTACAAACTCCCCGTCTGCATATGTCTTGAGTCGTTTAGATATTAGTTCGCTGATATCATAACTTACTTCTGTACTATTTTCAGCATTAGCATTAACTTTGGTGAATAATTACTTTTGTCCACTGTACCTCTTCATCAACAAAGCCACTTTTGTCTTTTCGTAGCTGTCCTTTAATTTCACCATAATTTTCTGCATGTTTTGATGTACAGTATAGTGATGGTGAATATTGTATTCTTTCATCACTGGAACAGATTCTGAACATATCAAGCATACCGGCCTGGCTTTGAAACTCTCAAAAAGTATTTATCGGTCCAAACATTAGTAAACATTCTGCTGTCATTATTAACAATTCAACATTTCTCTTCTTCATACTATGAGACTACCATAGTATCTTGAAATAAATATCAATGGTATAATAATATAACTGATACACTATGTACTTCTAGGAGCAATGTAATTGATACAAACTTCAGGTTATTTTGCTATTAATACCAGTTTGTTTATAAAATTGAAGAAAAAGTAGAAGTAAAAACTGGTTTGTATTATTCTTTTTTTTTTTCGTGTATTACGTAAATGTACACTCAAAGACAAGAGTCATGTCACAGTTTTGTCCAAAGATTAAATATAACTCGTGAAACATTATGAGAGCTCCCTACCACAAAGCAGAGCGCACCAAAAGATTAGCCCTTCGGCATTTGTTTTCACCAAATTTCACGAGACAACTTTTGTCTTTCATTGTACATCACTTTAAATTTCATTTACTTAAGGCCCGCATTTACATAATAATGCCAAGCACACTAATGAGACAGATGAAATTGCTTAGCAGACCGGATGTGGCCCTTGGGTTATAGTTTGGCCACCCCTGATTTAGACAGATGCCTCTAATACAGGATTTTTTCTTCTCAAAAAGCATTAGTTCGGTGAGATGCAAAAGTAGACTAAACTTAGGCCTGAATGGTTTAAGGACTAGTTGCATTGAGAAGGCACAGCTAACAAAATCAATCCCAAACACCATTCACCCAGTTACCTAGAGGTTCCTGGTGCTGTAACTCTATACACTTGGTAGAATATATAATACAGGAGTCACTCGTCGCTATATAGAGTCTCGGGTCAGATATATCATGGAGGATGTAAATATTCTTGACAGGTTATCTACTGTTTTCTTGGTTCTGTTTCTCACGGAGGTATTTTCTTCTTTCAGCATAATGTGTCCAGAGGAAGAAGTCGTCGAAAAAGAGATGTCCATCTTCAATATTATGTCTAAAGTTCGTCTCGAGGCCTTTATGTGGGGTGCTGGAACCGCATTAGGTATTTATTAATGTTTTGTTTTATATTCAGGCTCTCATAGTTCTAACATCTAGCATAAAATCTGTATATGCTCAAACCTCATTAATTCAAGGTACAGTACCATTTAATTTATACATTTTAAACGTGGGCAAAATATATTTAAAAAAAAAAATTAGGGGGGCTAATCGTGCAAATTGTTCAAGGTTTGTACGAAATCTACCCGTGTGGCCCAAGCAGTCAGCAGGTTGGAACAGGAAGTTTCCCTTTGTGTGGGCCTACTAGGGTACCAGTTGATATATTTTGATCATATTTTTTTGTATACCTACTGTACTTGCTACCAGTAATAGCCTGGTATTTCTTTTTATTCATGTCACCTCCACTCCATATTTAGAGATGTTTCATTACAGTCTAGCCAATATTTATCAATATTTTAGAAAGAATTGCAATTATGGTGAATATTAACTCGGTAACCATTAGTGCTGGCACAGTACATTACCATGCGGTACTTTTCCATGATGCCACCAGCCTAGCAACAAGATGGTAACATACCTGAATACTTTAGTGCTGGTACTGCCAAGGCCTACAACAAAAGCAGTAACTGGTTGTACAGATGTATACAGTAAATTATTAATATTTAACATAACTTCTCCTGCACTAGTTGTATGTTATGTGATAAAAGTAATGTTTCATTAAGGCTTACACAGCATAGTGTACTTTTCCACCGCGTCATGAGCCAACAAAGAGACATGATGTTAATTCTGGTTGTACACATATATACTCCCATTAGTGTTAGCATCTCTCCACATGTACCATTTGTATGTTAAGATAAAAATGTCTCATTAATGCTGACCATACCAGCTGTTTAATCTAATGTTAGCTCATAAATTATGCATAGCACAAAAAGGATAATTGGCCACACTTTAGCTAATTGACCCTCCTTATCTGGCAACCTTGGGAGCAGAGCTGTGCTGAATGATTGATGTTCCTGGTAGATAGAAGGTTGATAATTAATGTCTTGGTTATGTTCACATGAAATTTAAAAATTTTATGATCTTAGCTTAACTCTGACTGTGAGAGATATGTGGTGCACCATATTTCTCTTGTTGTGAGCATTGAGTGAATAAACTGATGTCTTAATATGAAAGGCTTCTCCTAAATTTGTAGTACAGTTATACCAATTTGTCCATAAAGGTAAAACCTAGCAATGTAATTTTTTGACATGACTGGATATTTTATCATCAGGTGAGCTGCCCCCTTATTTCATGGCCCGGGGAGCAAGACTTTCGGGACATGACCCGGATGACGAGGAAATGGCAGAATTTGAAGAACTGCAGAGGTTAAAAGAACGGCCAGAAGATATGTCTTTCATCGACCGGGCGAAGCTGTCGGTGGAGAAATTAGTTGAGAGAGTAGGGTTCTTCGGTATCCTTGCATGTGCTTCTGTAAGTGGAATAAGCAGTGTTTGGTTTTAGAATTGGATTTAGTGAATTTCTGGTAGGTAATGAAGGTATATATTTGATGCAGTGAATTTATGGAAGATTATGAAGGTAAATACGGTGAACTCCCACTAACCCGTACTTAACCAGACTTAGGTCCAGCACCGGACACATGTATCTCCAACCCAGAAAAACACAACCAAAATCCGGTTAGTATGGGGGAAAGTTTGTGTAAGCTGGGACTGTCACTGTGGTGGTTGCTGAGGAGCATTATTAAGTGAAGTGTCTGAGAAATATGAATAGTGTTCAGTATACATTGTCGATGAAATTAGCAGTGAAAGCATAACCTCCGCTCCTCCTTCGTTGCCATACATTGTGAATGTCGTACAATCACTTCCCGCCTCATGAGAAATGGATAATAAGTACAGTACTTTATTATTAACATATACTATGAGCTTCTATTTTAATTAAGTCATATTATAGTGCAATAATAATAATGTATACCATAAGAAAAACACTTCTACTTTTTATGATTCTCTCATCACTCCTATTATATCAGACCACGGCCACGAGCAAAAATATTTAAGAGTGGCAAAACAGTGTGAAGACTTTAGTCCACCACATCTGTTATAATGTTGTAAGAAAGATGAATGTTGGACATTAATGACCCTGAATAAATTTTACTGAGGCTGTTTCAGTAAAAGATCCGTAAACAAAATATTTCAACACACAATGGTGGTGACCCAATTCTCTTATGAAAACCTTCGAAGTGTGTTTACTGGCATCTATAAAATCAGTTCTAATTAAATTAGAAAAACCATTTTAATACTGTATAATTTATCTAAGTAAATATATTTATAAAAACTAAAAATCTATATGATACTGGCCATTGGATAGAGTATTATGGGGCACGAGGGTTGTATGGAGCCGAGAATAACAGCCGAGATGACTCACATTGCTGTCAGACATATGAGAGCCAAAAAAGTTCATGTGATGTATAAAAACCTGAGTGTTAAGTTTAGGCTAAACATTACAGTGAGTTGTGTGTTCTTAGGCAGCTTGACTCCAAAATCCCCCCCCCCCCTCCTCCCCCCCACCTTCTGGAATATTTCACCCTGCAATTAGAGGAAGTTTACTGTATTTGGTAAAGTAAATTTATGGAAGATTATGAAGGTATATATTTGATGAAGTGGTTTTGTGGAAGATTACAAAGCAGTACTAAAGATTAAATGAATTCTTGATGTATGATGAAGTGTACAACAAGATTGAGAATGTTTGTATTACTTTTAGAATATCGTTAAAGAGTATTGTGCTGTATATAAATTCTGGTGAAAAGAAGAATCACAGTAGATATACAGTGTGTGTGTGGTGATTGAAACACGCGTTCACTGTAGGTCGTGCTCGTATCTTCCCAATATTGTATATACGTACTATGTATTGCATGACAAGCAGACATCACCAACCTTCCAATGTTTAAGACAGCAGTACCATTAGAATTAAGCTGTGTATTAAAGGCTCTATATTGATTTATTTGATCACATCTCCAAAAACTGGGTTAATTTTTTCACGTGATTTACCCTTTGGTGACCGAGAAGTTAGATAGAAATAGTAAACAGACTTGACTCTAGTACCAGATTGGTATAGTTACTTGAATCACTTTGGATTTCTTCTGCAGATATTCAGTTTACATTGCTTGCTTTCACTTCTTTTAACGACCTGGAAATACATAAGTAGTGTAGTTAGAGGAATGAATTGATTGAGATGAACACTTCTCATAAAAAATGGTTCTTTAATATTGATGAGTAATATCTGTTTGATTGTCATGTCCTGTTGATCCTACTGAGGAAGATATAGAGAGACTGACTGTATGTGTGAGAGTATTGCAGGTATTAAAGAGGGAGAGTGACTGAAAGATGAAAGTACAGTATTAGTTATGACACAATAAGGAACAACCTAGTTAACTTGCAGAAAACTGTAATGTGCAATAAAGATTATAAGAAATGTTTTTAAAGCGAGTTAGGATTTTCTTGTATGAATGTGGCTAGTAAAAGAAAATATTTTACTGTTGTCACACAAGAATAAATTTTACTTTTATATGGTAACATTTTTATTTTTTTTTATATACAAGTTAGTGTTTAAGTCATTTAAGGCAGGGAGACCATGGCTGGGTTATTATTTCAGCATGAATATTAATTTACATTTTATAGTCGTAAATATTTTTAAGTTGATGTAAACAACATTTAAAAATTATGGTGTGATGTATGATTTTACTGGATTCGTTTGTCATAGGATCTCCAAGTGTTGGGTAAAGGAAGGTAAATGTGTTCTCTCTCTTGCAGATTCCCAACCCACTTTTTGATCTTGCGGGGATAACCTGTGGGCACTTTCTCGTTCCTTTCTGGACATTCTTTGGTGCCACTCTCATCGGGAAAGCCGTCATCAAGATGCACATTCAGAAAATGTTTGTCATAATAGCTTTTAATGAGTCACTGCTAGCCCGGGCAGTGGGGTTATTAGCGTTTGTACCAATTATAGGAAATAAGTTGGAACAGCCATTTAAAACTTTCTTGAAGAAGCAGAAGCAAAAATTCCACAGAAGACCTGGGACAGGGCCAGAAAGTCAGGTAAGTTGATCATTCTTTTCTTATGTTCTTAAGTTATCTTATATACTGGCATACAAGTTGACCTTTGAAGCCTAAAAAATTTCCCCAAATCCAGGGGTTGATTAATCTCCAATACTGTACAATATTTGAACATTCAGTTGCAGCTGAAATTCCTTGTGAATAACAGTAGGTGTCATCAATTTTTGAATTGGCTGTTTTAGTTTTTTTACAGTTTACATTTTATAGATTTACATACTAATTAGAATCATAAGAGTTGAAAGAACATTCAATACAGTAGTAAATTACTATGGTGATGCCAGTGTGTACAATTGCTTGTACGAGTAAGATTCCATCTCTTTATAGACCTTTGGAGAGAGTAAAGAACTAATCATAATACAAAATTGAGTGAAAGAACATATAATGTGAAAAGGAATACTCATATTCATATACATGATCCAGTGTTCCAGACTCTGGACCATGTCTTATAACTCTTAACTATTTGTGTTTGTTGTGCTGAACTATTAGTTATTCCCTCAACCTCTCTCTCTCTCTTTCCCTCTGTCCTACACCCCAAAAGCAAGGGAGGGCTCTCCTCAACTAGGCCTTCCTCAAGATTTGCTTACCCTCCTCCTCCTACTGGCTGCACAGCCTATTGTATACTCACCCCCTCTCCCTCACTGTGTTTATTATTATAACAATAAAACCAGTAATTAAAACCTCATTTGTTACACCCTGATACAGTATCTTGCATCCAGGCACTTTTTCAGTTGTTGGTTGTGCTGATACACATTATAAATGCTTTACTGTGTGAAAAGTATTATAATAGCTTAAGTGTATTTAATTTGTACCGTGGGTTAAAAGAACATTGTGACAATCACTAAAGTGGTGACTTGGTTAAGGTATCAAGTATTGTAGATAGTTAGATGTAGAGTTCACACTAATGCTCAGCACTATGGGGGTAGGCTTATAGGTCAAGTGTTGGCCTAAACATGAATATTGAGCTGAAGAATTGGTGGTCAACTAATGTGCCACATCAACTTGTACACTAGTACTGGGTATATACACTAATTTTTCTATGTGATTATCTAATACCTTCTACACCAGGGTGCTCCTCCTCTCATGGTGTGGCCATGGAAGAGTCTCCAGGTTAAGCAAGGTATGAGTGTATGTGAGAGTGTTAAACATTTAGCACATTATGTAGAAAGTCTGCCTAGAGTATGGTAAAATAAAACCTACTTTTACTTTCAGGATGGAGCGAATATTCTGGCCCGGATTTTTGAAAAACTTATTCTCCTGATGATTACTTATTTCATAGTGAGTATTATTAACTCATTTGCTCAGAGTTACCACAAGAGAAAACATAAAAGTGAAAGTGAGAAAAAATTAGCCCAGGACTAATGGACTGTGCGGTCAGTAATCCAAGTGATCTACGTTGAGGTGATCTGTGGTGTGTTGTTTGGTGGAAAAAGTTGGTGAAGTTTTAGAAAGAATATGACTGAACAGGTTGATGGAACTTTTTAAAACATCGCAGTATTTTAAGTTAATATGTAATTTCTTTTGTTTTAATTAAAATAACTAAATGCTTAGGTAAGTTTCAGAAGTGCAAGATTAACACAATACAGTACACCTTTTCACATATCCGTTGCGACATTGTTACATAACTATTTGACAAATTTCATAACCGAATGACAGACAGAACACATATCGAATGACAATCTAAAATAACTGTTCGTTCATGCTAACGAAAGTGATTGATATAAGTTATGAAGTTGACAGACGTGAACAATAAACCGACAGTCTACATATAGTTTGAGAATGTAACAATTGGAGAATGACATACCACCAACAGTTATTTTAGATTGTCATTCTATGTGTTCTGTCTGTCATTCGGTTATGAAATTTGTCAAATAGTTATGTAACAATGTCTCAACGGATATGTGAAAAGGTGTATTACTGTGTCGTTTTATAAGTGTATGCTGGATAAAGTTTGTTATAAATTTTTATTAAGGAATGGCTTAAACATCAATAATGGTAAGCATTTAATTATGTTTTTAAAGGAGGATCAATGTCAAGTGTGTGGTGACATTATATTCCTTATATTAGGATTTTTTATTTACTCAGATTTTCCATTGTTTTCCACCAAACATTAACCGATTTTTTTTTCTGTAATTGGAGAAGCGTTTGTCGTAATGCTGGATATTGTGCTGTTAATGTGACTGTATTGTGCTAGACCTAAATAAGTTAAGTGAGACAATAGAAGTGGTGTTCAGATATGAAGAGGACACTCAGATTTAGTCTGGGGAAACTTTCATTTAAAGTGTCGGTTCCTGTACTTGAATGTTTGTACTAGAATTTGTTTTATGAAGTGTGATGGAAGTAAAGTGTATATTGTAGTGTATATGGGTTCAGGAATATTCTAAAAATGTTGTGATATACTTTATACTAAGGAGTACGGTATATCTGGAGGAAGACTTGAAATAATCCTCTATGTGTCGGTGAAATTCAGCCTCCGGATAATAAATAATATTTTAATGACTTCCTCTTGATTGACCCCATGTACCACAGGGTGAGGTAAGCCGTGCATGTGAGTACTGTATAAAACAAGCTCTAGGATTGACTGTTACACACAGCAATGTTTGTTCCCTAAGAGGCACTTAACTAGTTTTACACCATCAGAGATCCTAAATCTCTTCAGTTGTAAATAGCCATGTAAAGCAAATGAGTGAGACGTGTATTTGTACATTTTTTACATGCCAAAGAGATCTGAAACTTTTGACATTTCACCTTAAGCACATGTAGCGTCAGTCAAACACATTCTACCTTACTTTGGAGCAGTTACTCAAGCACACTGACACACTTAATATGAATTCATATCAATTATTGCATCGAGATAAATTTTCTAATGTCACATCTTCTTGGGATTCCAGTGTTGGTCATTACAACATGTGTCAATTTATTTACAGAGAATTATAAAAAATTTTGAGTGATACCAAAATGGTTTTAGATATTTGTTGTCGTCATCATCATCATCATCATAATCATATTCATCATCACCCTGTTTGAAATATGTAATGAGTTGTCATTTCCTGAGTGCTGACTTGTAGAAACATTATTGGATCATGTACAGTACAGTATGTGATAGATATGTAATTATGACAAAGTGCTTTTGCTTTTGAAAATATGCCTTAATGGTGTAGGCTTCTAGATATCATTTATGGTCATTTAGTTGATGGTAATGATCCTTGTCTTCTCATTTTTATAGAAAATATTTTAGTGATCAAGGACCGAGACTAAAGCTCAACGAATATGAAGTGATGAAGAAATAGGTGTCCGTAGAGGTTTTCATTAAGGTAGACAAGAATTAACACGAGCTAAAGGATATTTAGAATCGTATTGTAATTGTTCGTGGTAGAACAATATACTATAAAAGTTTTTACAAGAGAGTATTCTTAGCACTGTAGCAGCAACCCTCTTGAAAATGAATTATGAATTTCAACAGAATGTGATCTAGTCATTGGTAACTGAAATATTTTCATAAGTTTTGCATGACTCACACCTCATAAAATACAGTAAACCCTCACTTTCAATGGTTTCCAGGTTTGTTATTTTTATACATTGTTCACAACAAACTAATATAGATTATAATTTTCAGTTCTGTTCCTTCCTGTCATTATATTGTATATATCATGGATGTTGCTGGAAGTAATGGGCAAAATATAATATACTGTACAGTCAACAAAGGTTATTGCAAAATTTTTACATTGAAATATAGATATATTAATTATGCATCACTGGAACTAAGGCATGCCTTGTATTTTTCCCCCCTTTAATTTGTTTTTATTGGTACTGCACTGTACTTCATATTGATACAATGTTATAATGACTTCTTTTGTAGCTTTTTGGTCCCAGGTTACTTTGCACTTTGTGTCTCTTCCTGACTGAATGTTACAATCTACTTTGCCATATTGACAAGAAACAAGGAAAACTCCTGAACATACAATCTGAGGCACACAGTAGTGATGCACAATATTGTACACTGTGGTGTAATAATTGTTATTTGGTATCTTTCATATTAAACGATCTAAAGAGTATTTAATGTTTTATGATCATCTGTACTGAACATTTTTTCTGGGTTTTGTTATGGTTTATACTGTAAATGTGGTATGTATTATATCTGGTGCAGCAAATAATCAGTATCCTGTATATCCAAGTAATGGTGGGTAATATGACACAGATATTATTTTAGTTTACAAATTATAGCTGTTTATCATAGTTATACAAATTTTGTTTTTCACTCTGAAAACAATTCAAACTACCATTTTGTTTTGTTTTACCGTATGTTCCTATTACTGAACAAAATGTGTGGAGGTGTCAAATATCTTTCATATCTTAACCCTTACTGTTAGAAGTGATTTATTGTATTCTTCTGTATCTTAGTGTTAACTTCCTGTTCCTCTTTAACACCTATATAATTAAATATGCCATATTTTTTGTTATTTAATTTGCATGACTTATGTTTTAGTTAAACCAAACTCATAAAGCTTCTGTGTTACCAACTGTTTAAGGTTCTACAGTGTTGACTAACATAACCTTCTGCTCCGAGACGTGATAGTTTATTTGTCAACTCGACAAATGATTTAACATCTTTTATTAAAGTTTAAAGTGAACAGAGTGTAAGTATATATAAAGACACATGAAAGTCAACTTATGCTCTATAACACATGTGACACAGGCACCACAAAGGGCAATATCCCCCTGGCTGGTTCAGGGAGCACAGGACAGTTGGCAGAAGCTACCACCTCCTTTCACCACACTGAACTACTCTCCTTGTTGTTAACATAAATTGTTATAGATACAGTACATGATATAATATGACATAGAGGCATAAGGAATAATGAAAAATATTACCAACTTTGCGTGTGAAAGCCAACCTGGCAGCACATGCCAACCCAGGCCTGTGTTGCCAAACCAAATTGGAGAATGTGTCTGCTTACATTACAAAGTCTCACAGTGGATATAGACCAAAGCTAAATTGTTGAACAGTGCAGTGGCAGCTGCCTGAAATCATTTCTACATTGTCTGCATTACTTCTACCTAGCCATTTGTATGTTGTGTGCTCACCACTGCTCAATTGACTTTCAGGATCATGAATTCTGGCTGGTTTTGGTTTTTGTTGAAGCTTCCATGGGCTGTTCCATTAGAGCAAATGTTTTAAAATGTATAATTAATGTAAAAGAGGTAATTGTACTGTATTATTACAATGAGCTCCTGAAGTAAACAATTACAAAGTGATAAATTCTAGGAATGAATTTCTAAGTTTTTCGTATTTATAAACTTCAGTATCACCTTGTCTCTCTTGACATTTCTTTTGACCATATTGGGTAAAGATCAGTCCATAAAACTTGATTAATGCAAAAATATACAAGCAGTGAGTGGATGGTGTGATTTAGCCAAAACTGCAGACGACTTTTCCAAATTATAGTGTGTGAAGTGAGTGGAGGAAAGAGATTCCCTTCTCCACTTCTTTAAGATATATACTGTACAGTATTGTAGAGAGCCTTTTTTACTTCCACTTCTAAGAGGCCATTATAGTGATAAATGAGGACAAACACACAGGATAATGAGTGAAAATGGGTTTAAGGCATACAGGAACAATGTAAACACAATGAATGCTGATACGAGACTTACAGCCGCATGCATGGTCTCGGCAGATTTTTTCCAAAACTCAGTCTTGCTGAAATATTGTACACTACACACCTGAGGCACACACTAATGTAAGAACTCAAAATATGTGATATAATGGAACAAAGGCTTTATATTGTTAAATTTGATGGGGATGACAGATTTTTTTAACTTTGAAGATGTCCCATTTTTTACACGAGTTAAGCTCCATTTCTGTGGCTTCCATACCTATGGCATTACCCAGGAACAATAATCACCATGGAAATTGAGGGTTTACTGTATATTGTACCTTCCATTAGTTATGGAAAGAAAGTGAAATTATATTTAAGATTGTACATGCACAGATCTGAAAAATGTTTGAGACCTGATTCAGACTAGTAATAAATAAATATTTTCATGTTTTGTTGTAGGCTCAGTAAATGACACAATAGAGGTTGTAGATTTGGCAGATATTTTATGTAAATATATCATAAAAGGATCTGGTATGTTTATGTCAAACTTTTTTGTTTTACTTCTGTGTATTTTGTTGATATAATAGACAGCCATTAACTGTTGTTAGTTAATCAGGTTAGAAACTTATAGTGAGTTTATTTCGATAATATGAATGGAAAGAAAAATAAATGCTGAAAGATGGGTAATGTTGATAGTGGTCCCTTGATTAACAATGGTCCAATTAACAAAATTTTTGGTTAATGAATTGGCTCCCATAATGATTTTCAATTCCATTAACGAACAAAACTTCGATTAACGAAAGCCTTACGAGAAACGCCTTGTTGTGCGCTTCAGCTGGTTGACTAGTCCACCAATACAGTACACCCTGTAATTGGTTCTATGTTTACATTTGTTTCCAGTGAGGTAAATATCAAGAAAGTTGTGCTCTTTAATATTTTTGCATTTTTTATATTAAAAGTATTGGTC